TCTTCTCTATTTATAAATATTTTGTAACCAAATCTAATCGAATTTGTTACTATTTATCGCTTCTCAATTCTTTTTTGGAGATTGATAGGAGCCTATCACAAAGGCAGTGATAGTTTTTCTTTTTGTCAGCTTACATTTTAGTACATTTTTGCTTTGATTTATTTCATATTTTCTTGTATTCTTGTAGCTATGAGGGGTTCTTTCGTTGGCTATTATGTTAGATAAAAACTTATTGACGTTTCACAATATCATTAATATTTGATATGCTAATATTACCTTAAAAATACCAAAGCCCGTACATTGTACGGGGGTTCAACTAGTATATATATAAAGGCCATTAGATTAGAAAAGAAGTGAAGCACTACAGGTACAGGGGATTTTTAATAGAGTCAAGTGGAATTTTTTCCTACAAATAAACTAAGAAGACTAGTATTCTATACTTGAGCACTTTTCATTTACACTATAGCTTCAGTTCAAAAAACTTGTACGGAATGGACGCTGATCCTGATATCATTGCTTTGTACATCTCTATATGCGAGAATCCACTGCACTTGGAAGTTTAGTCCCCAGTGACATGCCATTTGCAGAGGCAGCTCGTCAGGCATGATCTGGACCTCATTCGTGTCCCTGGGAGGGGAGGAATCACTCCTTTGCATTATGCAGCGGAATCAGATGACAACATTGATCTTTTGATTAAATTTCTTATCGTGTGCCCGTCCTCAATCAAGGACGTGACCATTTGAGATGAACCTGCTGTGCATATTGCTGTCAGAAACAAAAACTTAAAAGAGGTTTTAAGGTTTTGCTTGGTTGGGTTCGTAGAAGTGACGACACAGCAGTTTTGAGATGTAGAGATAAGGAAGGCATTACAGTTCTGCATCTTGCAGCTTTAACTCACCAGCTGCAGTTATTTTCATTGTGCTAAACTTCCATTCATCTATTATAGAGCATACCACTATACCTAGATGGAACACGAAATACTTTGTTGAGAGAATTAGATCAATCTATGGTATTATTGTTAAATTAACCCCTCAAATTAATTAACATATCCTATTTCTTGGTTCAGGTTATGAAGTTATTAATTGGAATCGTATTTGTAGATGTGAATGCCAAGAACAGGGAAGATAATACCAGCACTGGATATCATAGAGGGCCTGGACCCACAATGTCGAAATGAAGACGAAAGGCTAATTTTAGGGCGTGCACGAGCTAAACGTGGAACATCTCTTGTCGAGGATGCTACCAGTACCACTTGTGAAGATTATTTAAGTTCAGGGATAACGTTGAAGGATATGTTAATCGAAGTGGGTGCTTATATGCAATTCAATTTGTCCAGGGATATGAGAAATGCTGTCCTAGTAGTAGCGGCGCTGAGTGCAACTGCTAAATATCAACCTTATCACTCTCACTTCTATTGTTAATAATGCAACTAGCAATAGATCGGGCGGATATGAAGATGAAGGAACTGCATCAATTTTACTGTCACATCTCACAACTTCACAAGTCACATTAATAATAACCTGCAAGGGTGTGTTAGGTATTCGTAGGGAGCTAGGCCATGGAAAATATATTTCAGTTAGGGTCCGTCTGATTGCAAATGTGAAAAATGGGTGGAAAGAAAATGTTTTACAGGGAATTGAATTCCCTAGAAATTGTTTTACTAGGAAAAGTAATTAATTGTGTTTGATCGGTATAATTTTCCACCTGGAAAATATTGAAAGTTTGGAATCCGTTTGATTTCGTTTTTATGAAAATTGTCCATTAAAATGATAACTTTTTTCTACCATTGGGTCTAGAATTTTTTCCAATTGCAAACAAAAAAAAAAAATTACTATACCGAATACCATTCGTTTGACTTTGTTTTGCATGGAAATTATCAATAAAAGAAAAAAAATTGTTTACCAATGTGTCTATAATTTTTTCCAATTGTCATCCAGCCAAAACAATAAGAAAAGGTTTTCCTCCAAAAGCTGAAAAACGTGGAAAGGTGGAAAAAATTTCCAGAGAAAATTTTGCTATCAAACAGGTGCAAAAGTTGGAAAATGGAAAACAATTTCCATGAAAAATCATGGCTATCAAACGGAGCCTTAAAGGTTATAGTTAGGTTACATTATTAAATCTAAGTATCTTGATTGCAGAAGTTCAAAAAGGTCATTAAGATAATTTTCTTATTCTATTGGATTTTGAAGTTTAAAATGATCTCTCGACTAGAAATATTAACATTAGGGCTGTAAGCAAAAANTTTATTGTATGCTTAAATATTTTGTTAAACTTTTTTTTTAAAGTGTTTTGAATTAATAAGGATGATATATATTCAGTTAGCCTACTAAAGTCTTGAATTTTGATCTAGTAGGCGTAAAGTTTATCATTTAAGGTATTGTCTTATTGATATCTCAGTAGCTGTACTATGGAACTATATGCTTTCAAATAAATATTTAGTTTATAGGTGTTTTGGGCCTTATATTTAGTTTATTAGACTAGTATTGTAACGTTATGGTAACATCTTAACCTAAAAAGGGTGAACAAAAAACTATTATTATGATTTCACTTGGATTTAGTTGGTATTTAAATTTATAGTAGATATATTTAGTTGTTTTAGATTTATTGCTAGTAAGATATAAATATATATTGAATTCCATGAATTAATGACATAAAAGTAGACAAGTAATACGACGAAACCGGCAGTTTAAAACAGGACAAAATCGTTAGGTTTAGGTTTGAGTTTTTTGCCAAACCGTTTAAAATGGTTTGGTTTAGGTTTGAGTTTTTCTCAAACCGATTTAAACGGTTTGGTTTGAAAATCTGTTAAAAAATCGGTAAAACCGGACCGCTTACACCCCTAATTAACATATAATTGGCTAGAAAAACTAAGTTATAATCTGACTTGACATATGTTAGGTGCCAAAGTCAACTAATCAATACTCATAATGATTTGAGCTGCCCTTCAAGTGAATACTAATGCAGAAAACCTCCATCCAATTCTCCACAAAATTCACTCTTTCCGTGTGCATCCCCTCAGCGCATGCTTTTATTTTAATATTCACAAACCTTCTTTAGAGACTGATGTTCGACAAATCCTACAAGCGTATATGATCGTTGACAATTAACGTATTAAGTAAATTGAGAGTATCGTTCCGCAGGGAATCACTTTTAATTCGAGTGTACTAATTTTATATGGAATCCGAATATGTAACAGAGTTTTGACTTGTGATTATGCTAAAATTAATGTAAAATTAAGGTTTATATTAAACTATGGATGATTGTATTCGATTTAAAGTCCACTTATTGCTATCTATTCCAATGTTGAATTCTTCAAAATTTTGATATAATTGGCTTTCAATTCTTGCTAAGGTTTGATCTTCTCTCAAAATATGTCAATTAATCTCGTGTTCTTGATGAATTTGATGACACAAATATGTAATTAGAGGCTAGAGAGAGTTCTTTAATATTTTCCCCAATTTTCTAATTTATAGAAGTCCAAAAACTCATGAAAAATCGTACAGAAATTTCAATTCAATTAGAAATCTGCCTAAATCCGGATTTTGCACAGCTGGTCCCTGAATAACCCAGTGCCCATGCGCCGTGGTCCCTGGTGCGGCTGCACCAGCTTGAGGAATGGCTCATTGGTTGGAAAAACAATGGTCCGCACATGCCCCATTTTATCTATAAATAGTTTTCGGTATTTTTATCATAACTTTCTCTCCCAATATCCAATTGAGGCGATTCAAAGTGTGTTGAAAACATAACCGAAGGACTACAATTCTTATAAAATTTTTTTTTTTTGTAATTCGAATGTTTTCTATTCTAAAATTGGGTCTCAATGAAGCTGGAAATTTGAAACCCAACTTTTTCGGTTCTAAATTGATTTTGTTTCAATTTTTTACTCGTTTGACTTTCAATTATATCCAATTGATTATATAAGATCTTCAATCATCGGTTTATTGTCCGAATCAACTATTGAATATTTGCACTTTGATCTTCAAACTTTTAATTTCTTCCGTTTTCACTCGTTTCTCATTCATTTCTTCTAATTCCACCAATTTGCACTGAGTTAACAAAATTAAAACATAATTAAGTCATGAGTTATCAAAATTAGCAACAATTGGTCTCATTTAATGGTCCCTATAAGTGTATAAATCAAAGACCTTCAAATTTGAACAATTGTTTGTACTCAAACAAAATAGAACTTAACTTAATCACAGTGGTGTCACTGGAATAGACTTGGTTGGAGATAGCAGTACCATCCCCTTGTAACCAAAATCCTATTAAAAAAAAAAAGGGTAGTATTTCAAGATCAACAAGTATAAGATCCTCTTCATAAACAATTTTTCGCATATGGCAATTGGCGTAGTCATCGTTTCCAGTTCTGATCATATAAATCTTTGTTAATTTATATCCACTTCCACACAGATTTGTCCTGGCATATGTTGCAGTAGGCTCATCAAGCTTAATAGAAATTCCAATTATCGAGGCGATAGAAAGGAGTCTTTATCCTAGTATATTAGCTGTTGACCTTTTAGGAACGTTTTCAGTCCTTCATCTTGTGGATTCTTGAGTGCAGTGTTTTCCCCCTAAGCACCCAAAGCTTATTCGCCAACTTTTTAATGTTGTTTTTTCTGTTTATGTTGACTGATTTAATGTTGGTATCGAAATGAGAAGGGGGCTTGAGGAAGAAGATGATGGGAGATGGAGGATATTGAGGAAGAAGATGGAGAAGAAGATGGGGAAGGGAAGAAAATATTTTAAGATAATAATACCAATTCATTTTGGAAAAAATAAATAAATAAAATTGACTACATATGTTTACTTAACGAAGAAGTTGGATGAAAATGGACGGAAAAGGCGTTTTGCATAATCAAAGATGTAATTAAGCGTGGAAATTCCAAAAAATGGAAGGTAGGGACATTACGTGTTAATTAGAGCGGAAACAACAGGTGAGAAAATCATGGATTTTGTCTGGCCTACGAAAGATGTTTGATATTTTGGTTTTAATGCAATATGATCAGAATATAAAAGGCAACAATGGGGAAGCTCATATTTTTATCTAATCACAGCTGTTAGAAAAAAATCACTCTTTCTGTGACTTCAGTTTGGAGCTTACAGTAAGTATATTGCTTTGCATTCAACAACACTTTAATGGACACTGCTCAACATCCAGCTATCGTTGCCTTGTACAACACCTCTTCACGATGTTGCTTGTGAAGGCCCTACCATCCTTTCTCTTGAAATCTTGAGGCTAAAGCCTTCTTTAGGGAAGAAGTTGAACCTTGATGGGCTTAGTCCCTTGGACCTGGTTTTGCATAATGGACATGACAGTACTGCGAAGCAGCTTGTCAATCATGATCCAAACCTCATTCGTGTCCCAGGGAAGGGAGGAATCACTCATTTGCATTATGTGGTAGAAACAGAAAAAATAGATCATTTGATCAAATTTCTCCTGGAATGCCCATCCTCAATCAAGGATTTGACTATTCGAATGAGACTATTTTGCATATTGCTATCAAAAATGGAAAGTTTAGAGCTTTCAAGGCTTTGCTTGGTTGGATTATGAGGATTGGTAATAGAGAAGTTCTGAGATGTAGAGATGGCGAAGGAAAGAGTAATGCTTGATGTACACGCTTGGGTGTACATCAAGCATTACACTCCTCTCACAATGGTGGGGGGTCCGCAATTTAAAAAATCGCGGACCCCACACTCCATTGTGAGAGGAGTGTAAGTCTTAATGTACACTGTGCTGCATCTTGCAGCATTAGCAAACCAACACCAGGCATGTTGCTTTGACTAAACGACCATTCATTTAATAGATCGTATGCATGGATAGTATACAAATAAGCATATATTGTTGTCTGTTGAGAGCAATAGATCCCTCTGATGTTATTGTTTAATAAGCACTTTTGTTCTTCAATAATATGCGTGTTTAACATAACCTGTTTTTACATAATTGGAACTAGAAATGCAAGGCAAATTTTAATGCGAGCATGAGCTATGCATGGTGCATCACTTGTCAAGTGTGCCACTAATTTTTGAAGATTATTTGGGTTCAAGAAGGTCGTGTTATGAAATCGTAATCAGACTGGGTGCTTGTCTGCAATTGGGTTTGCCGGAGTACGCGTAATGCTATCCTAGTAGTAGCTGCATTGATTGCAACTGCTACATATCAAGCTGCTCTCACTCCTAGTGATCTCAGACATCCCTCATATATAATAATTAACTTGTTTGTCTTTAGTGTGGCATTTGAAACGTGCAGTACTCATATTACTCACATTAGTTCCATTGTATGTATTTCTTTTCGCACCTCTCTACTTCTTTTTGATGAGCTATGAAATTTATGCATATTATGAAATATCAAATGGTACTGTCTTTCTCTTGATTTTGATGCTAATATCTATTATATTGCCCTGGTAATAACACTTCCTTGGAGTATTCTACTATATGGAACGCTACTTATAGGGAGATCCTCTGTCTATAGCCTTGATGAAATAAAATGTATTGTATTTACCACCAAATATGATTCCAAGAACCTCAATAGATGGGAAGTCTGAAGATGTAAAGACAAAGGAACTGCATCAATTCTTCTGTCATGCCTTTAAGCTTTTGGTTGGAGTTAAGCCCACCTTTTTAGGCTTCACCATATTGAACCTTTGAAGCACCTTCTCAATGTACCCTTTCCGACTCAAATAAAACCTGTCAGCCTTCCTATTTCTCATGATTTTCATACCAAGAATCTTAACTGCTACACTCCCAATCTTTCATGTCAAACTCCTTACTAAGTTGAGATTTTACTGTCGTGACATCTGCTTTATCATTGGTTTCTATAAGCATATCATCAACATATAATAACAAATATGTGATCGATCCACCATCTCCTTTTCTGAAATACACACAACTATCATTATTACTTCTAATGAAACTATGGGCAGTCATGAAGGAATCAAACCTTTTATATCACTACCTTGATGACTGCTTCAATTCATACAAAGACTTCTGCAAAAAGTATACACAGTCTTCCTTTTCAGAAACTATGAAACCCTCTGGTTGTTGAATGTAAATGCTTTCCTCGATTTTTTCATGTAAGAATGTTGTTTGGACATCCATCTATTCAAGCTACAAGTTATTCTTAGTCACCACTCCAAGTAAAGCTCGAATAGAACTATGCTTCACAGCTGATTAGAACACATATGTGAAGTTAACACTTGAAATCTGACTGTAGCCGTTTGCCACCATCTGGCCTTGTAACTTGCAATTTCTAAATTTGTAATTTACAATTTCCTTAGTCAAAATCAGGTCCTAGTTGAATTTTATTAGGAGTCTATCGAGTTGTAATCAAAGTCAAAATATGAGTTATTGAGTTCTAATTAAAGTCATAAGAGTTGGGGTTGGTAGTATATTACTTGAAAGAGTCCAAGATGTCCAAGGAGATCATATATGATCAAGGGAATGCAATTAGAAGTTTAAGGAGTGTCAAAGAGCCGTACAAGTTATACTCCAAGTTCTCAGTCGCAACTTGCAACGCATTTTTCACATAAAAAAATTGGAATTTGGACTAGGATAGAAGAATTGTAGCCCTTTGAGTTAGCTTTCAAACTCATTTTGAATCACATCAATCAGACATTAAGAGAGAAAGTTAGGATAATAATACTGACTACTATTCAACTGTTGCTCGCCTAACGCTCGAGCGACGGGTCGACGTTTAGAAATTTGTTTTACTTCAAAAACTTGGTTTTTAATCCCTTTTCATCCCAAACACTTTTCCCTATATATATCATATCTTATGAACATCCAAAAGTGTGTTGAGTTATATTTATTCCATAGAGATCATTACTTTGAATATCCAAAATATTCATTGATTCCAAGATTCAACCACCACATATTACTTGATCCATAAATTCATCCAATTTATATTTTGTTGATCGAGCCATATTGTTTCATATAAAACCACGTTTCAAAACACACAAGATATTTTAAACACAAAACTATTTAATCCATCGAAGATAAATCGATACCAGGGATCGAGAACTATTGCAAAAGCACAAATTCAGTAGGACTACGGTGAGATATTAGGAGTCGAGATCTGACGTCAGGAGCACGCAGTCCAAGAGGGTTAAGGTATAAAGAAGGATTTATTTGAAGGAGCACACTTCTAGTACGATCAATGGAAACTGCAAGAATCGAGGTCAGAAGTTCTACGGAGTAGACGAGTCTCGATCGTACTATAAGTTTGCTTCAATTTATTGTGGATTATTGATTGGCAAAATGCCCAGAATTTTTACCCAATTGGGATTTCTCCGTGATTATCTTTGGCGTTCTTTACTGCTTTAATTATTGATTGTGGTGTTCAAACTTAGGACATATTGACTTATTTGATCTAACCATCTAGAAACAATTAAAAAATGACTTGTTACTTTTAATTGTGTAATTCCATACGTGGGTCTAAATAAATTCGGTAATTTAAAATTTTCAATTAGTATGAAGCTAAAGAGCCAGATAGCTGAAAGATTATTTTCCTAACTTCAATTCTTTATGATGTTCGAAAAAACAAACCACTCATTAGTATGGACGCAGATGAGCCGATTATGAACTTGAATTCATAATGATCTTTGAAATTAAATTCAAACATGGCTAATTTGTTAATAGAATATCAAACAAGTTTTAATTGAACCAACCACAAGTCAAGATTGTTTAGCTTGACAAGTTCCTATTTATTTCTGTATTTGCTCAAGCCTCAATAATTGTACAACATCTAGAGGTGGCAATGGGTCGAGCTGAGCTCGGCTCTCGGTCCGTGAGCTCGTGACTCGTGGGCCGAGCCGAGATTGGGCTCACGAGCTCGTCAATTTTTTTAAAGATAAACTTTTTCTTAAAAGGATAAACCCTACATCTTGCAAGCTCATGGGTGAGCTCGTTGGCTTGCCCACGAGCCGCTCACCCGTGAGCAAGTCAAGAGGGCTCGGCTTGCCTAGCGAGCTGCCGCTTTGCTCGTAGACAAGCTTAAGCCACCCAAAAGCCAACTTTTCACTCGGCCGCTCGGCCCGTTTGCTACCATTGACAACATCAACACGTTGAAGATTCAACTTGTTTTGCTATTGGTTGCTATATATATGATTATATAGGAGTTCTTGATCTTAACATTTGGTGAGTACATGAAGCAGGTAAAGCATGTGTTTCGGGTCTGAAACACATATAAGGTTTGTGATTTCTAATTTTATTTGGATACTGTAATTAGGCAAGTATGGACTTGGTGTTGTTTGCTTGCAAATTCTAATACTCAAAAAATTTGGACTATAATGTTAAAACAGTTGGATAATTATATGAACATCACAATTGATTGCTCGACCCACAAAATAAATTGGGCCACTAGAAGCAACTATTAATTGTGTTGCTCATGGTCCGTTCGTTAGTTGGATTACCCTTTATGAGTTATCCCACTTTCCCTTTGGTTTGTTAGCTCATCTCATGTATTGTTACTTGGTCCAATTGTGTTTTGGACCATTTACTTCACTTGCCCTAAAATTATATATGTGTTAGGGGTAAGTTAGGGCCTAAGATCAGGCCGAAAGGCGTACCCCATGGACAACTGGTGAAAAATTCTTGTACTACCCCTTGTTGGTCTCGAGGGACCGAGGAAGCTAGGTTAGTCGAAAGCTAGTTATCAGTTCAAAGAGGTAAGGTGCCCCAGCTAGCAAAGAATCTATCGTCTGCATGTCAAGCGTAGCAGATGTTTTTAATCAAGTAACTCAACATTTTCAGATCAAAGTAAGAAAACATTCATACATATATTAGCCCATGTTGAGTGAATTTTGGGTTTGCCATAGAGAAAACATTGAGGCAGCCCGTATTTGAGAGAGCCGTGATCCTTTGTGGGTTAAATCAACTTGGCAACAATAGCAAAATTGTTGTGGGTTGAGCCGATTCAATTGGTTGGTGTTTGATTCGGTTTCGCAGAAACTGAGCCCGATTAAACATATTCGAAGTCCTTGGTGTATAATTTCCGCAACAATACATATTTTTTGAACTTATTAGGAGTTAGAAATCGCACATGAAATCAGATGTATATCAACTGTTAAGCTTCAAAATCCCAAACCAAAACATCCATGGTACCACAAATAGTGCATCTTGGCATCTCTAATTCATCGAATACATAAGCAAAACCTCATAGAACCATCAAGCTTCCATGAGCACTAGTAATCAAGAAACGATATCATTCAATACCCCATTCCCGATCTGTGATCCAAAACACATAATATTCGATACTCTGATCTCGTATCTCATGAACAACTTGAGTTTCCCTAAGCTTAAGAAAATTACTTATAAGGAAATAACGTTTAAATAAATATTTTTTTGTTTATTCAAATAAGACATTGATTACTTATTTTGAAGTCTCCAACACTAATGCTAACAAAAAGAAAGGAGGGCGGGGTGGGGGTTGCATTGCTGGTGTGTATATTTGTAAAATTGAATTCCTTGGCTAGCTGTTCACACCACTCATATTTGTTCTCATTTAGTATTTATTTTCTTGGAATGAAAAAACAGATATAAATAAATAAGAAGATAGAACAGTTCCCACGTTTGAAGAAGAAGGGTAAATATCCTGCCCACCAAGATGTCCTGCTGCTTGGTCCCAAAAGTAAAAATTGGGACATTGTTGTGTATCAACCCATTCATTAAGCTCATTTCTCTGCAGGCAATCAAGGGTCACTTTTCCTTTCACGTTCATGCTACAAGATTGCACTTCAATAAGCACCGTACTCTCTATGTTCTCCATCAATGGAGGCAAACAATTCGAGTCAAGTGAACTCCTAAAAGAAGTAGGATGGATCATTTTTTGATTTTGATTTACTTGCTATGTCTCAGAGTTCATTAATCCTGTATTTTCTTGTAGAAACTGATCCATTTTTCCATCAACATTTCCATTAGCACCCTCCAATGCTACACCAATGTCAAACATGAATGGAGGACAAGGTAAAGGAAACAGAGTATCTTGAATCTGTCTCTTTGTAGCCAAATCTTGATTTAAGAAGTCCATTTGCTGGTTTTGTGTGTTGGTGAATTGTGAATTTTGTTCAGTAATGCTTTGTGTAATAATTGTTGAAGATCCTGATAAGGGCTTTCTTATCTTCTTTTTGATCCATGAATTCCAATAATTTTTTATCCCATTGTCAGTTCTTCCAGGCAAATGGCTTGCTATGTGAGCCCATCTAAAGATTCCTCAAGCACGCGTGCATTTCATTAGTAAAATATCAATTAACTCTACAGAAGTGAACTTGAAGTTTAAATCATTAAATACTAAGCAAACAGTGAATGTGGAAAAGAAGGCAAAACTTATAGAGACACAAGAATAATTTATGCTATACTAAAAAAATGCAATACTTTTCAATATTTGGAAATTACTCTACAGGAAACTTTTGACATTTCTTTAACGTCTTTGAAAATGCAAGCTAAAATTCCTTTACATGCTGTTTTAAAGCAAAATATGGGCACATGGACAAATACATACATGATCAACTCTTTATCAAGATAAATTCTTGTATAGAAACAGTGTGTTTGTCTTAATCAGAATAAAGTTAAGCCATTGCTTCAAGATTCTTCGAAATAATTAATCACTAGCTTGGAATCAAGACTTCTTGTTGTCCGAAACTTGATCTTTTTCAGTTCTATAGCACAAAAGAGAGTCGCAGCTTAATTTTGAGATGCATATTCAATTTCTTCAAAGCATTTTAGGTGCGATGACTTATGCATAATGCAGCCAAATTTGGTGGGGTGGGTTTAGAATGTAGAAGTTGAACGAGTATAGTCACTAAAACCTGTTCCCTACAGCCCCATGAAGGCTGATAATTAACTTCTCCTCTTCTGTTGTAAATCTTCCCCTTCTGATATCAGGTCTCAAGTAGTTTATCCATCTCAAACGACAACTCTTTCCGCATCTTTGAAGCCCTACAATACAAAATTGATCTGCTGCTCATGAGGAGTATTTACACGTATCATTCATGTATATGCAAAATCTGAAAATTTGCCCTAATCTGTAAAACAAAATATGCGCTTAAACTAACCTGCTTTTCCAGGGACTTTACTCCAGCAGCCATAGCCATGAGTTGTGATGTATCGAATGAGTTTTTCGTCTTCCTCAGGTGACCAAAGACCCCTCTTAACCTTCTGCTTGTTGCAGCAAGAGTGATGTCCCACTTTGTGCTGACAGTGTATTCTTTAGCTTTCCATTTCCTTATAAATATACGCTGGAAGTATGGGTATCCGACATAAACCCTCAAAATGAACCCTGAATAGGTCACATGTTCCCATCTAACTGTAAAATGACACTACATTAACTCTTACTATAATCTCTTTGAGTTTCTAGGTAGACATGCATTATGTAACCAATTTCACGTACATCAGCCCTTGCTGGTTGGTTTACAGACTTCGCTCTGACCCTTTTTTTCCTGATGAGGACGTGCACTAATTTCATGTCATATTTGAATATTGAAGTATTGTGAAGTGAAAGAAAATACAAGTCAAATTAAGAGTTAATTATTCGTGAGAATACTTTGTTAATAAAAAGAAATTAGTCCTTGATTTTTAGTGCTCCCTCTAAGTTTATGAATACTTTTGGACTAAGAATTCAGAAAAGAAATTCAATAATTCAGCTACCTTGATTCAATAATTAAGCTACCTAGACTTGTCAAACAATCAAGATATAGTAATAAACATTATGATTTTTCTTATTTTTCATGTGATCTGTGAGGTTACTTAAGAGTCGCGCTTGGAATAAGTTTGACATGTTACAACCTTTCATTTGATACAATCGTAAAACCGTTGCAATTGATACCCAGTTGGATGAGAATTGTCTTTTCTATCGTCAATTGACTACCTGACCATTTTTTCATCAAAATAAATGAGGGTAAAATGACAACTTTATATTTTATCACATAAAATAGTAATAAAAAAAAATCAAATCAAATTTCATCTTCTTTCCTCCCCCACCCACCCCACCCCACCCCCCCTTGCCTCCCACCCCCAACCCAAAAACCAAACAAAATCAAAACCCATACCTCCATCCACAGCCCACCCATCGTCGCTACTGTCATTGCCACCGATCGCCTGCCCACACGTTGCATCACAAACTGCCACTATTGCAAAATCCACAAAACTATTCTGCACAAAAGATCCTTAATTACTACAAAATTCCAATAATTACTAGTCGGTCAGTGCTTAGGATTTAACACCATCATTAATATAAATCATTTAAGTCCTTTTCAACTTTCTTTCCCATGCACACGGAATAAATTATTGTACATCATAGATGAGATCTGCAAGTTGAAACTTACATTTTTCAAGAAATGATGGCAAAACGTAACTTTTTGAATTTTTTTTAAAAGCAGACTATTTTTATTTTGTTCAATTTGACATATTTTTTACACTATTTTTTTTTTTTTTTTTGTGTGTGTGTTATGATGAAGGGATATTTGGATCATCAATATGTACAGCTACAGAAATTGCAAGATGATAACAACCCAGAAATTGTGGTTGAAGTGGTTTCAATAAACTCATAATTATACATTAATACAAACATACACACATGTAGACCTGGTGGCGGTGGCGGTGGCGGTGGCAATGGCAATGGTGATGATAGTGACGATAGCGATGTGACACGAGTGAGGTGGCGGGTTGTGGTAGTTGTATAGGTTTCGATTTTGTTTGGTATGGTGTGGTGTGGTGAGGGAAGAAAAATGAATTTTTTTAATTATATATTTCAATTATTTTATGAGATAAAATATAGAGTTACCATTTTACCCTCATTTATTTTGATAAAAGAATGATCATATTTTAATTTTGGTCATCAACTGACGGGAGAAGAAACAGTTTCCATTCATTTGGGCATCAATTGCAACGATTTGAAAGGTTTGGGGATGATGGTTGCATTGAATGAAAGATTAGAGAAAAGCCTGCAACTGCTTTGGAAGGTTTGAAGGCGCACCTGCAATTAGTTCTAAATAATATGATTTTTTCTTATTTTTCATGTGATGTGAGGGGATAATTACATAAAATCAGCTGCTTACTTTTAAGTTTATGAAAATCAGGTTTAAACTTTTTATCAAAAATCAGGATTTATCATTTTTAATTAATAATGATATTATAATATTAAAATAACATATATATCCACCCTACTACCTACCCCCTCCAAATTTATTTTAAATATAAAATCCTAAATCTACCCAAAACCCTAACCTAATCCATTTCATTTTCATTTCTCTCCTCTCACATTTCTCCCACCACGCCGCCGCCACCGTCACCTCTCCACCACTCTGCCACCGCTCCTCCCCCTCCCTCTCCCTCCCTCTACTGCGATCGCAGCAACGTCCCTATGACGCCGCTGCTAAACGGCAACCCCCTCCCTCTCCATCCCTTCCCCCTTCGCAGCAGCGTCACAGCGACGCTGCTGCCCCTTTCCCCTCCCTCTCCCTCTCCATCCCTATGTGCCTTGATGCAGTGATGTGCAAAATACATTGTTCTTTTCCTTTACTCTTTCTTCTAATTTATGTTATGCGTAGACTCTGACGAACAACTGGTACTGGTAGTCTGTTATGCGACGCTCCTAGGGTGTGTGGGTGTGTGGGTGTGGCGAGTTGGCTGTTGTTGTTTGCTTTGAGTGGCGGATTGGTGGTTGGCTGTTGATGTTTGTTGTTGTTGGTGGCGGATCTATTGTTGGTGGTTGGCTGTTGCAAGTGGATTTGTTTGTGTGTCATGGTAGGTGGCGAAGGTCGGCGAATTGGGTTCAATTTTCGTCCTGTCGTGTGTTCTATGGTTGGTTAGTTTGTGTCCGTGTGGTGGCGATAAAATGACCATTCGTGTGATGGGGCAGACGATATTGGTGGTGTTGTGTATGGGGCGATGATGGCGGTTGCTGTTGGTGTTATTGTTGGAGGTTGGTTGTGACTGTGGCGGTGGGTATGGGATGATGTGTATTTGGTCAATATGTGACCTGTGCCCACGTATAGGTCGTGTATTGGGATTGGGGGACGGGTTCGGGGGATGGGATGAAGTGTCTGTGACCAACTATTTGGTCGATCTGTGACATGTGACCAAGTATTGGTGGTGTATTGAGATTTGGACTGTGACATTAAAATTTGTTAATATGTGACTAAAAATATAACCTGTGACCAACAAATATGGAATAATTTTTTAAAGTTGTGACCAATTAAAAATATGTGACCTCCATAAAAAGCAGTTTGTGACTTGTAATTTTTTTATTAGTGACCAATGAAGTCAATTGTGAATGACTCAATATTTTGATCTGTGACTTCGAAATAATTTGTGATCAATTAATTTAATAAGTTGTGACTGAAAATTAAATTTTTAACTACTTAGGCCCTGTTCGGGAGTGATTAAAATCCAATTAAAATTGAAAATATGGCCGTTATTGGGCCCCAACCGTCTAATAAAAGTCAACAATAACAGCTATATTTTCAATTTTAATCCGATTTTAATCCCTCCCATACAAGGCCTTAATTTTTTTTTGTTATAACCTAGACGCATCATTTGCAAGTCCAGACTATTTTTTGTCATCATGAGTGAATATCGGTACATGATAAATTGCAGATATATTTACTGAATTTCCTTGCCCTAGCTCAGTGTAATGATAAGGAGTCAATTTTTATTTTTGCCACAGGTCAACATATATAGGGAAAGTTGTACGCAACTATTTATGTCTAGTTCTATATCTTTAATTAATGTTACTGCTGAAATAAGAAAAGCATGGAGAAAGAAGAGAGAAATGGAGAATATTTGTATATTCTCAAGTGTGTATAAACTGTACAAGATACCGTCCTTTTATAGGAAGAGGAGGCGATCATAAAAGGTAATAATTACAAATTGATGCTAATTACAAAGAATTAATTAATTAAAGCTAATAAGATAAATCAATCCTAATTTAGGAAGATATTCTTAAGTCGGGAATATGTACTAATATATGCTAACACCCCCTCAAACTCAAGATGGGATCGAAGATGCCAACTTGAGTTTGTAAATCAAATCACAATGACATCCAGGATGATGGGCCTTGGTGAAGATGTTAGCAAGCTAATTAGTAGAAGCAACATACTGTAATCGAAGAGTGTCTCGCTTGATATGATGATGAATGAAATGACAATCTATCTTAATATGTTTCGTGCGTTCATGAAAAAATCATTGTGTGCAATCTGAATGACACTATCATTGTCACAATGAATAGCAGAACTGCTAGTAAAGGAAACAACTATATCTTGTAATAACCACCGAAGGCACAAAAGTTCAGAGCTAGTATTAGCAAATGCACGATATTCAACTTCCACGCTAGAACGAGAGACAACTGTCTGCTTCTTACTTCTCCAAGAGATAAGAGATGTACCAAGCAAGAAGTAGTATCAGTGGAGCGACTTGTTAGGATCACTTGCCAAATCAGCATTAAAATATGCCTGAAGGTTTTGAGTGGGCAGAAAAATGAATCCCATGAAACAAAGTCCCCTTAATGTACCAAAGAATCCAGAGAACAACAGTATAGTGAGTACAGCGGGGAGAATGCATAAACTGATTTACCAAGTTGACTACATAAGAAATGTCGGGACGAGTCACACAATTAGAAATCCAAGCTTCCATACTTTTTTCGTAAATAAGAGAAAAATCCACCAGAGCTAAAAACTATAGATGCAAAATACGAGGAGTACATGCTTTATTTTTGACCACTGATTATGCAATTTTTCGGTTGAAACGGCTCACTCCGATCGCCCTCTCCCCCTTCTCTTTTGAAACTTATGCACGCTNGGGTTAATTATATTATATTACAGTTAAATATTTAATTTAATATAATAATTGTAAAATATAATTAATTAATTCATGAAAAATCTGATTTTTACAATTCTAAATCTTGGGGCCTGATTTTTTATTTTGGGATAGATAAAGTCTGAGTTGTGAATTTTTCCCATTTGTGAGGCCACTTAAGTGTCGGTTGGAATGAGTTTTGACATGTATAAGTTATATATATTTATTCCATCTTTGTTTGAGGTAGGATTTACTTTAATAGATTCTTTTTCTACGTGCTTTCTTGTAACCAACTATCGACCAAATTATTTTTTCTTCATTTATTATTATTACTACTACTACTACTATAATTATCATTTTAATTGATTTGGACAAATTCTTTATTTATTTTTTTAAAACAAATTATCGCTAAAAGTGTTTATATGAGCAAGCGTTTTTGTCCATGTAAAAAAATGAAACATCTCAATATATTGAAATCTTTGTAACTTCTTGACTCGTTCATTTACTGTTAGCTACTGAAAATTTAACCAAATTCGAGATTATAATTGACATTAACTACCCTAATCAATTTAATTAATAAACACCTTTTTCACATCCTAAAAATCTATTAAGGGACCTATATAATAAGTCCCCGGTAGATTTTGCTTAAAGTCAGATTTTTAATAAATTTAATAAGGTTGTTGAATTTAGTGATGGCAAACGGACCGAGCGGCTCGTCGGCTCGACCGCTCGGCTCATGGGCAGACGAGCCCCAGCACGAGCCGAGCGGGCCAATTCACTAGGCGAGCCAAGCCGAATGGCCAGGGGTGAGCGGCTCGTGGGCTTGTCTTTGTGAGGGATTATTTTTTTATTTTTTTTTAGAAAAATTTAAAAAAAATAACGAGTTGGCGAGCCGACCCACTAGCTCACGGGTCGAGCCATGCTTGGCTAGTGACGAGCACGAGCCGAGCTCATGAGCATACGGGCTCGGCCCATTGCCACTACTAGTTGAATTGTATGATTGAAAATAAAATTTCAAATCCCATAAAATATTTGATTGTAAATAAATTTGTAATAAAATGAATTTTAATAAAAGGGTAGCCAAATTGGGGGAAGTAGTTATAAAGGGTCCTGAAATTAATGTCACGTCTGTACTACTTATATCTAGAAATATATATATATATATAATTTAAGAAGTAAAATGCGAATCATTTTAAAAAGGGAAAATTGCTGCAGCAATTCCAAACCTTTTGATTTTTAGTCGATTTTACCTTAAACTTTTAGTTTGTGCCACCAAAGATTTCAAATCTTT